ATTTTGAAACCTTATGAAATGATTGTATAGACTTGATAAAAGATATAACATGTTGTTATGAAGTCTATAACCTAGAAATACAATATTTTCATAAAATTGCATATTCTATGCAAATATATTCAAAACACTAAATATGATTTCATTAAATATAAGCTTGTTAAAGGTGAAATCATATATAGGCATATAAACATGAAACAAAATAGTATTTTCCAATTCTATTCATTTGTTTCATAGTAAAACTTGAAAACTATCAAACCAAAACATATATGTATATATATAACTATATATATACAAAAACCAAAACGTGTATGTGTGTATATGATTGAGCTTAAAGTACTAACACACATAATATAAATTCCTAAACTAAATTACCCAAGCAATGATCTTGATCTTCAATAAGCTTGACTTGGTAATCTCGCGGATGAAGCTTGAACTTGGATCTTGAACTTTGAATAGCAAGGCTTCACCGACATTCCGCCAACCTCTAGATCTTGATCTTCAATAAGCTCTTCTAGGTAATCTTGCGGATGAAGCTTTAACTTGGATCTTGAACTTTGAATAGCAAGGCTTCACCGACATTCCGCCAACCTCCTTTGGATATCATCGTTGAAGCGCAATCCATCCAACCTCCAACTACGTTGTTTGTCTACAAAACATAGGAATGCACAAACACTAGACAAACAACATTAGTAATAAATTGTTTGTTAAACATCATCAAAACAAGAAGGCCAACAATAAATGCTTCGACAAATTTTCTTTGTGATCATGTATATAGGAAAGATGTGTGCGGACATTTTACATTGATACAAAATATCCTTTTTAGTGGACATCTTTGCCTAACCTCTTTGCTTAGAGTTTTTTTTTGTGATTTGAGCATGTTCGTCATTTGAATTATGTATTTGTTCAATCATATTTCTTTGTTAAAATGATACTTTATGCTTTTCCATGAACTCTCTTTTGGACTCTCTTTTGGTATCATTTTTATTGCCTTTCTTGGATTCATAAATTTTCATGAACAAGATTTTGGTTTTTATAAGTTTTCATGAACTTATACTTTGTTTCTATGTATTGAGACATCATTCTCATAATAATGTATTTATATTTGTTCTTAATCAATCATAATTTATGGTTTGATAACTTATGAATTTTCTCTTGGATTTATTGACAAATTATTTGATTCTTGATCTTTGATTTTTAAACCTTTGATTTTTATTTTTTGTTTTTGATATATATCCTATGGATATATATATTTATGTTTTAGACTCTTGTGACTCTATTCTTAATGATATATGTATATGTCTTCACTTGGTCTATCTTTGTATGTGAGTTGTATATAGCATACTTTACATCTATGCTTGCTCAGATATGTTTGCCTTGATCATTATTGTATACATTCATTAAGGCATTTTGATAGGGGGAATCATCCCTATATTTTTTTGTTATTTATACTCACCCGTGCTTATTGATAGGGGAAGCTTTCGCTCTTTTTTTTTTTTTTGTTTTCCCCATTTTTGATGTTGCCAAAGGGAGAGAAAAATGTGAGGTATATAGTATTTATTTTTGGTTTGTTTTATTGAATTTATTATGCATATTGGTAAATTGTTTGTCATCATCAAAAAGGGGGAGATTGTTGGCCTTCTTGTTTTGATGATGATTTAACAAACAATTTACGATTAATATTGGTTTTAGTATTTTTTTTGTGTTGTTTAGTATACGTAGGTAAATGAGCCACATTGATATTAAAACCTATGCAAATCAAGTCAATCAATCAAGTTCAAGATTTAGAAGATTCATTCTTGGTATACTTTGTATAAGTTTATATAATGTGTGCTAATTCTATAAGCTAAAATATACATACACATTTCATTTGTGAATTTTCTCAAATATAGGTGTTTTTATGAAAAATATATTCAAATATGCTTTGGACTATACAAACACTGTTAACATCTTCTATAAAGTCCATAAAAACATTACACAAGTTTTCAGAACTTGATTTGAGCTAAAATGTCAAATTCAATATGTTTAAACACATGTATTTTTAGTATGTTTGAATATTACAGAGATTTCACAAATTATAAGAGCAATTTGAAAAATTCTTTTTCCAACATGTTCATATTCATAATTATAAACTTTTTCCAAAGTTTTATATTTTTTAGAATTTATTTGTTATTTTTAATAGGACTTTAAAATTCAATTTAAAAAAGCAATACATGCTGAAAATTGGTTATCAGTCGACTGATAAAACTGACTGCAATTGCTAAAAATCTCTGTTTTAATTCTGGTCGACTGACCAATTGACTGATGAGGTCATCAGTCAATTGATCGTATTATTTGTTGACCGATGAGCTGCCAATTGCCTATAACAGCCAGCTTATCAGTCGACTGATGAGAGCTGTCAGTCGACCGATAAGCCCCAATGGCTATTTTTCCAGCTTTTATTATTTTGTCCTTTTTGCTGGATTTTCTTGGGTTTTGTGCCTTGGTTTTTCATCCTATATATACCCCCTATTGTTTCACTTCTGAAATGATCAAAGAGCTTAAAAGTTTGTTTCTTCTCAAGTTTGAGTTTGGTGTTTGTTTACAAAAGAGGAAGCTTGCATTGTCAAATTAAGGAATTCATCCTCAATCTTCTTCATCCTCTTATTGTGTTTATAGAAAATTTTTTCTAACTCTTTTATCTAGCAATTTATTATTAATTTTCATATTCTTATTATTGCTAGTTTATTATTTGAGTTAGATTTTATTTGTACTTATTTTATCACACCCCCCCTATTTGAGCTTTTAGTATTTCATACATCATATATTGGGTTGTGGGATTGTGATATTGTGAGAGTGACCCTATTTGAGCTTTTAGTATTTCATACATCATATATTGGGTTGTGGGATTGTGATATTGTGAGAGTGAGCTTATATTGTGTTCTCTCATATATTGGGTTGTGGGATTGTGATATTGTGAGAGTGAGCTTATATTGTGTTCTCATCTATTGTAGAAAATAAAATCTTGTATTTGAGCCTTATTATGAGTAATACGTTGTAATACACTTGTATACCGAGAGAAGTGTGTGGTGAGAGACGGGGTCGGTTCCAAGAAGTGTAGGGTCGGTAGTAAAGCCTAGTGAGAGTTTGTAATTACGAACACTTGAGGAAGGGGACAGGGGCTAGGCCAACACTTAGAGGGTGTAGAGTGTGATTGCAAGTGTGTAAGTTATAAAGTTTTTGGTGAACTAGAAAACCGAGTTGTGAGGTGTAAACGTTATTCGGGTGAGTGTAGAAAACCCGATTGTGATAGTAGAGATCTACTCGAGGTGAGGAGCGGATACGTAGGTCAAGTGGTTGACCGAACTCCGTTAATATATTGTGTGTTTGAGTTTGCTTTGGTGTTCTTTTATTTGTGCTCATATCATATATCGCCATTCTTGCATTGTTTATTTATCCCACTATATTATTTACTCTTGTCTTTATATCCTTGCATATATCTTATAGTGTATCTCATTGCTAGGATATTGCCCTTTGTATATATTGCTCATTCTTGCTCATAACACATTGTATATCTATCTTGCAAGAATAATTTGTTAATAAATTTTAATCGGTATTAATATCTAATAAGATTAGCATAAACCCTATTCACCCCCCTCTAGGGTGTTGTCATTACCTTAATTGTAGGCTAATGAATAAAAGCCCAGAAGAACTCAACATCTCATCTCTCAAAAAGCCAAAGAAGTCCAAGCTCATACACACAAGTGAAGATCAGCCGAAGAACAAGATGACTGAGTATCGATATCAGTATCGATAGCGGTATCGATACCCGTATAGATACAAAGTTTACTGTTACGGATTAAAGGCTGAAATTGATTAACTTGAGAATCAAGTTTAATCCAAGGGTTTATATTGCCTGTAATACGTTGTAAATAGGGGTAGAGAATGAGGGGTTTGGGTGTGAAATATTTTGTAAAAACTCTTTTTAGAGATGATGGTTACTCTTAATTGAGAAGACCTTCCAAATTATAATTTTTTGTTGCAATTATTAAAGAAATATTTTAACATCTTTATATTTCTCTTTTCTTCTCTTTTTTTGAATATGAAGATGAGTGTAAGATGAAGATGAAGATCAAAATAAATGTTTGCTATCACCATGAGGCTAGAACTCTCTTGGAATGTAAATTTTCTCTTTGTTAATAAATTTATTTTTTGCTTTTTGTTCTTGTTTAAATTAAATAGTCAAGAGGCTATAACACTATTGCCTTAGATTTATTTTTAAGCTTGTAGAGTATATTTGCTTTTATGTCTTTACTTCTTTGCTTTAAATTCTTGCATTTATTTTATACTTTAGATTTTTACAATTTATTTTGTAGTTTAGACTTTATTTTCTTGTACTATTCGCCTTGAGGCTAGAACCCTCTTGAGATTAGTTTTTATTTTTGTTTATTTTCCTTTTCTTTGATTCACCTTGATGCTAGAGCACTCTAGGCAATGCCTTTTTTTAAAGAAGTGGAACTAATACTTGTAGGAACTCTAGGCAATCCTCTATCTTTTACTTTCTTTATTTTTCTCTTTATTCTGGATTTTCCTCTCATTTATTTATTGATTTTACATCCTTCACCTTTTTTTCTTCCCTTTTGTTAGTTTTGTTTACATTTACATACAATCACTCTCACTCTCTGTGACGCCCCTGTTTTCATATATGGCTGCAATCCAAGATAAACTCAGAGATGTCAAACCTACCATGCACCCACACTGTACGAGAACAAGTTTTACTTATTACAGCAATATCCTCTAGTAGAATCAAAATAAAGTGCAGGTACAGAACAGACAAAAGAAAGGAAATAACTACAATAGACATGATATAGAAAGAAGTATCTCATAAATAAATCATGTCTTAATGAACAACCTGGAATACATCTGGTATCCAAAATGAATAAATATGTCTCGGCAAGAAATAACTAAAAATCGTACTAAGACACACTGCCTTTACACTATGAAATAAACTCTAAGGTCTGAAAAAAATATAAAACTACGGTGGTGCCTCTAATAAATCTCATGTGATGGTGATTATACAAGAACTCCGTCATCCTACGACTCTCTGGTACTCCGAATTACCTGAAAGAATATTAGAAGAAAAAGAGCAACAACAAGAACGTTAGAGCGCTATAGTTGGATCACCTCCATCCGCTCCAGGGGAAGGGCTGCTAGATGGAGTGGAGACTCTATTTATTAAGCATAGTCTACCTAGATTATTTTTCCCCGTATCTAATGGAATTAATATTTAGACACCTACAATACGAAATGTAGTACGTCAAGTGAAATAATCCAAGTAAGGAAACCCTCATGTATATACCATATGTCCCAAATTGTAAACATCTAAACATTAATACCGAACTAAAGATAAACAATCTATATGAAATCAACAATTAGAAATCCACAACACGAGACTGGTACGTCGAGCGATATAATCCAAACAAGGAAACCCTCATGTATATACCATATGTTTCAAATTGGGAATCGCTATTTATTGATCTCAACTAAGAAAATAAAGAAAAAGCAGTAAAAATAAGTAAAAACATCAACATATCATATTCATAATATCTTCCACTGTCACTGGGAAGATAGAATGAACACCGACACAAATCTCGTGTACTTTCAAATGCAAAGTACTCTGGGTCATATATTTCAGCAGTGAGTCAAAAACATAACTGGCATCCGCCAATGACTCGGGCTATCATTTAACTATCTCAATGCAACTTCGTGCAAGATTTTGATACTTAGCATTATCATGTGCAACAAACTACCCTGTAGGTATCCCAATCAGTGTACACGGCTCATTAGTCTCAGCGCGATCTTAGTGCGTAACATGAGTGTGGAACGACCTACCATATAAGTATCCTAGAAGTATGGCTCACAATCCTAATCGCACCCTCGTGCGGATGGACTGCTAGATAAAGCATCCAAACCCAATTCAATAGCTTGTACAAATGGAATATCGACACACTACCCTCGTAGTACTGAACTGAGCTTATCAACGATATCCAGAAGGTGCGTGTATAATATGTACTAAACTCTTTCTCAAAGTAATCGGGTCAAAACCCATCATAATTCCTTTCAACATACCCATGTGTGTGCTACTACACTATTCGTGAATTTATATATAAAGAAGTGCGGCTCGAAACCCACAAACATATCTCTAACAGATGCAAAATAAAAATTTAGGCAACAGCATTAGTAGTCGACTACTAGGCTTAGTAGTCGACTACATGTTTGGTGGAAAATTTGTGAAATGAAAATAAAAGAATTGTGTTTGATTTTATTCTCTCTAACTGCTTAGAAAAAGAATGTTTACAACTCTCTCAAACTCAATTACAATTTGAATTTCCTGATTATAAAAGAGAAGAGAATTGATCTGAATTCTCCCATTTGTTTAAGTCTGGGTTCTTCACGGTGGCGATGGAGTGCCTCCCTCGAATGATCGTGTCTATTTTGCTCTCCATTGACGATCTGCACGTCTCAATTCACTGGAACAACTAACTTGCGTGTTAAGTTTGATTAAGAACTCTTAACGAGTTTTAGAACTCAGAACGAGTTGAAACTCTGTCAAACAGAGTTGTTTGAACTGAAAATTCTGTTAATAGCTAAGTAGATTTATTTGTTGCTGAAGGATGCTCCAAGATTTGATCTTCTTATTGCAAAAGATCTGATATTTTGTGGATGATTGCCCCTAGATCTCTCAAAAATCCGAGAAGAATCAGCTAATCCAAACTCCAAAAACCCAACACTCTACTCTGTTGAGTTTTTTGGGGTTTTATAGGAGGATAATGGGTGTAACTGACCCCTTAATCCGCTCCTAAGTAGGCGTGATTCCCTCAGATCGTGGGAAAACACTTCTGAAACCATTCGACTCATGTTTGAATAAGTCAAATGCCTAGATCGGCATTAGGGACCCTAACTCTACGTCTTAGATTAGAGACGCAGAGTTGGGTGTCTGCTGGATGCTGAAAACGTAAGGTCCACTTGCGTTTCATTTGCTGAGTGTTGGAAACGCAGGGGTCGTCTACGTTTCAAGAACTGAAACGCAAAGATGAGTTCTGCATTTAGAAGGAGCTAATGTCTTGTAACCTCTTCTGTAAAGCGTTGCAAAGACCATTGTTCAATAATTTTCGCTTTAGTTGTTTTGAGGTGTGAGAGTCATTAGATTGTAACTCTCGCAGTTGATGGTAAAGACCACTGAATAGAGTTTTCATCAGTCGTCAGAAGAATCATTGAATTATAACTCCTCTCGATATATGTGAAAAAGTCCTCCATTTGTAACTTTCGTGAAATTCGTTTGATTGTAACTTTTATTATCGAAATATTGATTGAAGTTTGACAGAGACCAACTATCTGTCGTGATTTTTAGACAGCCTACAGAACCCCCTCCAAAGTTTTTAAAAGTTTGTGGTTGACCGGGATGAATTTTCAGAATACTTTGGATCCTAAGATTTTGTTGATAGATTGTTCATTCCGTCTGATTCGAAGATATTGTGGACCTGGTTTTTGGAACGTAGTGATTCCGCTTCTTTAAATCAAACAAGGTAGCTTTTGCGTCTTGATGAAAATGAACTTCCTCAAACAAGCTAAAGCCCATCGTTATTGAACCAAACAAGAATGATGATGATAACGAATTTGTCTGGATTCTTGAGATACTCCACTCAACTTGCGAAGAGGTGTATTCTTCGAATTTTGTCTGGATCCTTGAGATACTCTACTCAACTTGAGAAGAGGTGTATTCTTCAAATTTTTTCTGGATCCTTGAGATACTCCACTCAACTTATGAAGAGGTGTATTCTTTGAATTTTGTCTGGGTCCTTGAGATACTCCACTCAACTTGCGAAGAGGTGTATTCAGTGTCCAGAAAATTCTTGTAGGCATTCATGAACACTCGACGTGCAACTGCGGGCATTAAGTAATAATAAAAGAGCAGATGATAGTGAAACTATCATAGAAACGCCAACTGCAAACTTGTTAACGAGGTCTTCTTCAGTGAGGTTAAGCATCTTTTGGCTTTATTAATCTTGGTTGGAATATTATAGCCATTCAGAAGAATGAGTTGCGCGACGGATCGAGCTCTATAATTTCAACATCATTGACCGTAACCTATCTGTACTTCATCCAAGAGGCTACATAGTTGCTTGTCATAAGCCAGTTTCTTCTCAGCTTTGGTCACCTTGATGGCCAATGTTAGCTTCTCTTTATTTATTTGAAGCTATGTCATAGTCTTGGTCGTCAAGATGTTCCTTTTTTTGGCATTTAAAACACATAAGTGAACTCTGTGCTTGAGAATTGAAACGCAAGGGTGAACTCTGCGTTCGGAAGTTCAACCAATACGAATGCAAAGGTCATGTTTGGGCAAGATTCTAGCCTAGAATCTCATCCTAATTTGACAGCTCACAGTTATCTATAAATAGACAACTAGGGTCAAACCAAGAGTCATTCAACTCTTCTCCATTCTTCCCCGAGTTGCTTAACAAAAAATTTTGTTTTTATCTTCGGCGAATACTGTTCATCTTCCTCATCAAGTGACATCAATGGTGCCCAAGAAGTAGATCGTGTCTCAACCCATCAGGCCCGCTGTCGCCACAGCTCAGAGCTCGCTTCCGTCTTCGCCGGCCGCGACGGTACTGTGACTCAGATAGGCATGCTGCCGCCTCAATTTCCTTTAGTCGGTGGTAAGTGTGATCTCCATGGTCGTAAAACTTGTTACAACGAGTTCTGAACTTTGAATCAATGAGGAGACTCGTTCAAATGACATAACGCAAGGTTGTGGCTCTGTCGTTTGAAATTTGTAGCATGAGGGTTTTGACCCCCGCGCTCAAAATTTTACCAACGTAGGGTTTGATCTCTGCGTTTGTTTTTGCTGACATAGGGTTTGATCTTTGCGTTTGCTTTTGCTGACGTAGGGTTCAATCTCTACATTTGCTTTTACTGACGCAGGGTTTGATCTCTGCGCAGGGTTCATCTCCGCGTAGGGTTCGATCTCCGTGTCTGATTTTGCTGACGTAGAGTTCAATCTCCGTGTCTGTTTTGCCTTTGTACTGACTGATTATTTTCTTCATTTGCAGTGCGTCACACTACTAAGACTCTTCCTTTCCGCCATCATTTTGGTCATGAAGGTGGCATAGATCAAAATATGACATTCAATCTACGCCAAGAGCTCCCTATTTTCTGTATCACTGACAAAGATCGTGTTGAAGCGATCATTCAGGCTTTTTCTGAAACTCTTTGGACATTGGTCACGGATGCCAAATTTGAAAGTCTGAGCCGTAAACTGTTCGTCAAACTAGCATTCTTTTTCAGGGACTTTGTTGATTTTGAAACAGGTGTTGCTTATGATGGGGATTACAAGTGGCTAAGGAAAGTTGGGGACCGTCACCTCTTCTTACCCAATATGGAGAGGATGTACCCGATATCATATTTCCATTGTGCTTCCATTCTAAGGTGTATGGATTAGGACCTTGTCAAGGAACAAGACGGAGTTGACCTTGGAATCTTAAATTTCCAGGGGGTTCGCACAGTGGGTTATAATAGACAAGTGACAACCTTATGACCAGGCTTGTTCGTCAAAGAATACCCAGTTGGTGATGTGACCAGTTCGGCGAATACTTTTGTTAAGAGATTTATGGCGAATAAAGGAGAATTTCCAGCACAAGTATTCAGATCTCCTGGCTGGATTCACTCTTCGGTGATAGGGTGGTGGACCCGAATAACCAATTTTGTTTTGGAGGAGTTGGAGACAACTCTCACCCAAACTGGCTTGAAGATTCCTATGAGGGCTACTAAATATGGGATCATTCAGAGCACTATCACTTTTTCTCTATCTTGGAGCGATACAACCCTGAGACTTGCACTTTTTTTACTCCAGTAGGGGAATTGGGTTTTGCTCTTCACAAGATGCATGACATCTCAGGTCTACCTTTCAGGGATTTACCATATGAAGAATTTGTTCCGGGATCAACAAAACTTAAAATTTTAAGAAAAACTAGCCCCGAAGTTTACTCCACTCTCTGGAAAGTTATGTGTTACTTCCATATCTGTATGCAGTAGATGGGGGCTCGAGCAAGTGGTGTAAA